TGTATTTAAGGTGGCCTTTGTGCAGATTTAAGAAGAAAGATAGCTGCCCAATGCTTTCTCTAGTTTTTCTCCTTCTGAATTAAATACTGTGACTCAGTTGGCAACTTTGTGAGACAAGATGTACACAGTCATGAAGGAGCCAGGGCTGTTACACATCTGCCCTGCCCTGCTGGGCAGACCTTTCTTCTTTCCCTGTGGCAGTTCCCTGGCCACAGCAGCATGATCATTGTGAGTAGGACCTGCAGTTTTGTTAGCCATCCCTCAACCCACACTGAGAAGAGTTGCTTGTAGCATGCAAAGTAAAATGGCAGTTTCTGCTCATGGCAAATGAGTCAAAGGAATCATTCCCTGCCACTAAATATCTCCATGTGAAAAATGTGAAAAAGCCAAAGCATGTCTGTCCCAGGGCTTCCTGAAAGGCACCCAAAAGGTGTCCATGCCAACATCAGGCTTAAAAGCAGGATCTTCCACATGTTACCAACATCCACACCATACATCAGCCTTCTGTTGATTAACCCACATCATCCAAACCATAGTGTGGCACGTCTGGACAGCAAACAAGATACATTACATTGAATCACATGCCAGAAAACACATAGTTTAGTAAAACAGCCCCACAAGCAGAAGGGCAGAAAGCTGACTTAAAATTGCCTTGCTTCCCTGAGCTTTTCTGACCATTGACACCCAAAAGTCAATTGACCAAAGACTGAACTGGAGTAAAATCTAGTTTCAGGAGATATGAATGAATTTTCCCATGTATGGTCAAATTAAGGAGCAGGTTTGGGGGACTACATAGTGTTTTTTGGGTCAGCAGCCATAGCGGTTGCTTTCTGCAAGCAAGGGCTTTTTCTTTCTCTGGAGATACAATGCTCCAAACAGTTTCACCAGTTCAAGTTTTGTTCATGTCAGTGGAGCTTGCAGTGGTGAAGCCATTTTGAGGGTGAGACTACAAGTCTGTTATCTTTCTGGCTGCATTCTAGTGCTGCTGCTGCTGCTGCTGCTATTCCTAGTTGCATTGTAAACAAGATTTTAATTGAAAATATATTTGTCAATACATTTCACACTGTATTATTTTACACACACCTAGCCATCCTTTTAGTTAACTCCCATAATTTATCCAATGAAAATGAACAGTTAGCAACATAAACGTCTCCCTTCCTCACCTCTGACAAACAAAACTCCTTGAATAAGTAAAATGATAATGTGGCAAATTAAGCATGTCTTTTGGACTTATATGCACAGCCAACAACAACAACAAAAACACCCAAACCCCAATCAGTCAAGAAAGACATTTATTTTAATTCCATGCATTGCCACCATTTCCCGTGGACCACATCTTCAAAAGTATGTAAGCACTTTTGGACATGTCCAACTTGCACGTTCACAATCTCTGTTGCTCAGCCCTAATATGCCAGTCAGGGTCCCACGCATTAAAGTTGGGAGCGTGCCAAGCTTGGGTATGTACAGTACTGTGCACAGGACAGGTTTTACCTTTTGTGCTTTTCAAAATGAGGTCCAACCGACATTGTTCCACTGGTGTGCATGGTATGTGTTGCAAGCGTTGTTTGTCCTGTGCTTAGTGGGTAGCGCGTGTCCATCTGTCCAAGGGTTGCATTCTCCAGAACATGTCTGTCGCTTCATGCGTCTGGAGGGTTGTTCTGTTAAAGCGCATCCTTCACGCTGTGGCATGCTACCCCTCAGCAGTGCTGCTTGCATCCTACCATTCAGAGTAAATATCTACAAGAGTGGCCGTGGCTGCTGGAGAAAGAGGGTTTCTGCACGTGAAGTGGATGGGGAAGGAGGGAGGGAGGGTGCATCTGTTGCAGTTTCAGAGGGTAGACAGCTGAGTGGCACCACCCCGAAGAGCAAGCAGGGGGAGATCTCTGTGGGCTTTGCTTCCTTGCCCGTGTTGCCTGCATTACCTTCCTCCAAATCCCCACTCTTCCCATGTGCAAATATAGATCTCCCCGCATTGTTCAGCATACTTGGTCGACAGCAGGTATGTTTACGGAATGGCCGGGGGGAGGGGGGGGAGAATTATTGAAGTCAGAAATCTCCCTCCCCCCCCCGCCTCATCCCTTGCCAAACTTTCTGTGAAGAAAGGAGGCAGAGGCAGTCACTAGGTGGGATTTTGAAGCGTGGCTACTTTTCGCAGCATCTTCCTGCCTTGTCCTGTGCCCTTGTCCTCACTGCAAGTTGCAAGCACTCAGTCCCATTTCTTTCCAGCACTTACCTATTACTTGCCAGCATGCATGCATACACCCTCTGCAATGCTGCCCGGCCTCTTCTCAGGTTCTTCAAATAGACATTTCACACTCACTCACTCACCCATACATAGGGGTATAGACTTCATAGGGGAAGCAGCAATTTTCAAGGCTCCCCTACACACACACAGAGAAACCGTCCTTCCACGCTGTATATTCACACAACAGAGTGAAAGGTTCTCATTCAGCCCTCTCCCTTTACTCAGAGGGTGTTTTTTTTAAGATAAATACCATCTGCCATTTGAAGTGGTACAGGCTATTCTTTCACCTCAGGACTCTGTCACATCACTCCTACCTCATTCTGCTCCATGTGTCGATCCCGTAAAAGGACCAGCATTTGCCTTTTGGAGAATTATACATGCGCGCACATACACACCTTTTTGCCTCTGTTAGTCTCCAACAGTGTCTGGAGATGCCATCAATGGAAGAAGACCGGGAAGAATGCCTTACCTCCCATGTAAAGTTGAATGCTCATTCCTCAGTCGTATCCCAAATAAACTGGCAGAGCTCTATCGGATCTGGGGATGGGTCCTTAATCAAACATTGTGGTGCGAAAATTTCTTTAAAAATAACTGAAAGTCAATAAGAACATAACCCTGAATTATAATCATCATGCCCCGAAATGTTCATGTTATAATTTTTAAGTGGAACATGAGAAACCGTTAAGAGACAATTCTATTCCGGCATACAGGAAGCTCCACGTATGATGTTCATGTGTTAGTTCTGGGAGCAAAGTCTCTTCCCAAATGTCAGCTACCTCCTGATTGAATTTGCATGAGGGAATGGCTGGCTTTTCGCCATTCCCAACCTGGTGAGCCTAACAAGGCTGCCTAACCGCAGTCTGCAATCTCAGGAGTTGCCTACATTGAAACTTAGAAAAACAGCTGCCATGCCACTGAAATGTACCATATATTCTCTCCCCCCCCCCCAAGTGCAACAAAGATGATATTTCTCTGTCTCACTAGAGATGTTCTGTGTGTGTGTGTGTGTTCTGTGCAACGATCACCTTTCAAGCCCCTTTTTTGAACTGTGTGATTATCTCTGGTGGCGGTCTCAGGTATTTCAGTGAAAAGGGATTCCATTCATTATTTCACTTCTTGTTGCTTATTGTTTCTATGCATGCTGCTGCTTTTTCCATGGCCCCCATTTAGAAGGTCCCATTTTTATTTGAAAATTTTGTTTTTTATTTATTGTTTACCTTCATATGTTCTTTTTCCTGTCTTCTGCACCTTCCTCTTTATTTCTGTCCCCAATCATCTGAAAGTTTGCTAAAGAGTGGGTAAGTGCGTCCTACATTTTTTGTTTCTTTTCTTCCGAGTTCCTGTTGTAGTATGTGACTGTGCCATTGAAAGAAAAGAGAAAAAACACTGAGCAGCTCAAACTAGCTAGGAACTCTAGTCAATGTTGCAGGACCAACGTCTCACACTTCTAATTGCCCCTCACACTCCTTGTTCCCCAAAGCATGATTTAGTATTTATAGCAGATTTGTCTCTTCTAATGTTTTTTTTCCCCTTTCTGAATGTTAACATTTTAAAATAACATTAGCGCAAACAAGTGGAAATAAATACAGTGACTAAGATCAGCGCTTTCAATGTTTTATTTAATGCGGGGGAGGGAGAATGCGGAAGAACACCCATCATATTTTTAAATATTTGTTCTGTTCTTTGGCAAAACAAAGGAATACACTGTAGTCTTTGCTTAGTAATGGAAACCCTGCAAAAGGAAACATGCTTTTGTTAAAGTGAGCAGAAATTGTTCATGTCTTACCTGGAATCATGCCCCCCCTGCCCTTGGTGAATCTATCAATAGCTCAGCGAGGTTTGATCTGGTCAGTAACTGGGTGGGAGACCTTCAGAGGAAAACTGGTGCCATGTAGGAAGTGATGCTGAATGTTCTGTAGACGTCTCTCCATCCTATGCAAAGCATCAACTCCTGGCCCCAGCATGGTACTTATCAAGGGGGCCTCAGTGCTGTACTTGACATTTTTTGCATGAGTCAGAACAACCATGTCTCAAGTCATTTTTACAATTGGTCATAAAGGCCCCAGTTTGCTCAAGTGCTAAACCAAGCATATGCTGAAGCTCTTTGGATATTTAGGTCTGTTGCTATTTTTTTATTATTATTTATTTATTTGCTTTTGCTGAATGTAGAGTCTAAACTAAATTCCACTTGGGTTTCTGGAAGCATGGGACCTTTTATACCCAATGGCTTCACTTGTTATGAATCAGCTCCTTTGTATGTTCCTGCCAATGGTTGGCAGCTTTGCTGTGAACCAAGAGATGGCTGCTGTGCTGTTCCACAGTGGGGGCCACATCTCAGTCATTTCAGTGATCGTTAAAGAATGTGAATGTCTTAATTGCGACATGTATCAATCAGAACTAAAGAGCAGATCTGATGTGCTCTATCAATGCTAGCCCCTGTGGTCCAGATTTACTTTCTAGCCAAAAGATTCCGGGTTTTGTCCTCTGCTGCATGCATTTGTCTCGCGTTAACATTCACTCAGCTGCATGCATGGAACTGAAGCTAGGATCTGACCATTATTGATTCACAAAATCCTGTGGGAGGCTCCTCAGTCAAGAAACTCATGTAGATGTTAATTCATTACTGCCCACTATACTAGAGCACGTGTTAAATCATTTAATGTCATAATTGATACCCCAAAAAAGACTGATGTGTGAATTACCATTGATTTATGCTAATGATATTTTGCCTCCGTCTTTCCCCCTCCCCCCTTAGCACCAGTATCATTCAAAAATAGATGAACTAATTGAAGAAACCGTCAAAGAAATGATAACGCTTCTAGTAGCAAAGGTAACATCTAGCTTCAGGTGAAATGATTCACTGTTAATATCACTCCTTTTTTAAAAAAAAGAGCATTTGTATTAAAATATGACACATTAAGAAGTTAAGATGGTTTGTTGTTTCTCACAGGAGAGATCATACCTCACTCATTCTTGACAGTTTGAATGCCTCATGATTGCAATATATGGGAGACTGGGTAAAACAAAGGTTTCAGCCTAGACCTTGTGGGCCTGTTAGCTGTGCTACTCTAATGTCAGATGCCCGGGACAGCCCCAGGATAGCCAGCTATCAATGTTATAGTCTCTGGGTCTGTATCACCACTTTGTAGATCCTCTATTAACTCCAAACAGCTGCACTAACTCCTTTCATCTTCGCCAAGCCATACTTCTTTTTTCCCCGTACTCAGCCATCCAATGTCTTTGCTCTTCTAATGGCCATATAAACCCCCTTGGATACTTAAGTCATCATGTGATAAGCCACTTGATTGCATTATGTGGCTGAGGTAGAATTGGTATCCATCCAATTTTATATTATTTTTATCAATAACCTGCCGAACACAGGAATGGGTGGAACAGTGGGCTATAAATGTATTAAATAAACAAATGCCTCTTCTCTTCCCTACTAGCTCTCCTTTATCTGCTCGTGATTCAACTGGGACAGGAGAAAGTGGTGTGAACACGATGCAGTTGCTAAGCAACTATAGGGAATTCTTTATAATCACTTCTAAACATACCTCTGATACATTTGCTAAAGTCACCAGAACTTGGGGACAGAGGTTGGAGAGCCAACCCCAACTCCCATCGAGCCCCACTTGCTTGTCAAGTCATAAATAAATAAAATGTGCTTACAAAATTGACCAGTACGAACATACACAATACCTCTTTAAGTGGAACAACATGGCTGTTCCGAGTGCAACTGTTTTGGCTACATGAAATGCTAAGTTCCCAGAAGTTGAGTACATGCATTGAGAGACTATATTATAGCAAGTTGGTAACCACCCATGTCCTGCACAGTATATGGAAACAAGTTAGACTGCCCTGACTACACAATGTTAATGGATTATAAATATGTATGTAAGTAGTCTGTAAGTAATACCCATCTTTACACTTACATCTTATTTAACTTAGTTTCTTATACATCAGTCATTGGTTATTTGTCCATACATTAAAAGTTGTAGCCAAATCAGTGCTGCCTACATGGCATTTTCATGCAGAAGAGAATAATCTCTAGGTCTTCAGAAAATGAATGTGAAACATTTCATACAACATTGCAGCCTTTGATTTATTTTTATTTATTAAAATATTTATCCTCTGCCTTTCCTCTTGTCCCAAGGTAGCTTGCCTGCAATAGCAGGTTATCAATTGGAGGTGGTAGGAGGAAAATAGATGTGAATGCTCCTCCAAATTTAGGAGAGTTTATACTGGCATATGCCATAGGGTTTACAGCATCCATTTATCTATAGTGCTGTTTCAGCCAGTTTTCTGTTTCCATTTTGCAACACAGAATTTGGTCTGTGATCCTCCTAACACCCACTAACTGCGTATCACCTCTAACAGAAGTATGAAAAACTTACACAAACTGTACTTAGAGTGTCTTCACTACCCCAAGCCAAATTCCAGTGTATTTTAGGATAATAAAATGTCACCGAAACAAGTCTTTGTACAGAATGGCACAAGTCAGGCCTTTGCACAGAATCCAGGGGATGTTTTAAACATCTGTCTTTATTAATTACTAATGTTTTTGCTGTATATAAGGTTATTTTCTACCTCAAGCACATGTCTGTCTGTGGTGAGGTAACTATTCTCCAATGAATCCCATTATTTGCGCCAGCCTACAGACAACTATAACACTCCATTTCAGTGGTTCCCTGGATCAGTTTTCAGTTACAAAAATGAATGGGACCTTATAAAATCCTAATACTTTAAACTGGGCTAGGATAAAAAAGCACCCCAATGTCAAAATCGGTAGATTTTTGAGGCATAGTTTTATGGCTCCAGTGCTTATCTCCTTACAGAATGAAAACTGTAAGTGGCAAATGATTGATTTTTGTGGACTATGGCTTGGATCCTAAGTAGCACAAGTGGAGTTGTACTAGAGCAGGGGTTCCCATGATGCCCCCTAATAACTTTCTTGGAGCCTGCCAAGTGTTTTTAGAAAGTGGGTGGGGGCGGGTGGGGCTTTTGCCCAGCAGGGCTTCTGATTGGCTGTGTCAGTTAAAAACAACAACATTGCTTTGGCAACAGCTGCCACCACAACACAAGATTTCCATTGTGTAACTGAAGGTAAGCTGTGTGTAACCAAGCAAATTCTATTAGATAATATTTCCATTGTAAAAGGCATCCTTTTAAGTGGAGCTTCTGCCTGTTGAAGAGATGCTATTAGAGTTATGGAGAACCTCATTCTCTGATATTTTGTGGTTGGCTCCGCCTCCTTTAGCAGCCATTTTGTGGCCATGCACAGCACCGCATGTCAGAATTCCAAAAGTACCCACAGGATCATAAAGGTACCAGAGGAAGTTCTACCCCCATCTCACTACAGCCTTCTGTGTCCTCCCCGAATTGTCCTCCTATGGGTCAGTGGCCCAAAGCAGTGGTGTAGAGACCAAATGAGGAGTCTGCAGCAGGAGGGCGGGGGGATTGTCCCCTCCCTTGCAGACAAGAAAGCTGTCCTATTGGAAGAGCTGCTTGCTGTGCCAATAGAACATCATCTTAGGAGCCAAGCCGTTGTTTACTGATGTACAAGTGAAAATTTCCTAAAAGGACAAAGTTGTCGATCTCTAAGCAGTCTGCCAAAATATGTTCATTTGGGGTTACTTTTTATTCCAGGCTCTTTTGAGAGGGATGTGTTAATTGAAATTAAATCAACCAACAGAATACTTGTAAGGATTGCACAATAAGTATAAGGACCTGTAGGACAGCGGGGTCAGTGGTGCCATTCTGAATTGCATTAATGGACCTACCAGCTGGTATTCACCTCCAGGAACAAGTTACTTCTCGTGCCTTATATTTGGGAGTTGTGTACTCATTACCTTTTGTAATGCACAGACATTCAACTTGCTTTCACCATATGCAGGATGGTTAGTATTTTTGTTACCAAAAGTAAATTCAGCTTCAGATTTTTTTAAAAACTTTTGCCTGACAAAACACAATTTTGAGGTATAATTTTGAGGCCAAAACTGTCAAACTGCTTTGAGATGGAACTGTGGATATATATTTTTTTAGTTGTGCAATGGGTGTAAAAATGCTTGTCCTTTCAAAATAACTGTTTTCAGATAGAAATCATAGAAAATAACCGATAGTAGAAGTTAATGATTAAGATATATATAATTGTATTAAAACTTTATGTCAAAAAAGGGAACTGTATTTGTTTCTCTTCATGAATTTATTCCATGACAATAACGTTTTAGAGCAAATTATCAACTATAAGTATTAGATTCTTACTCTAGAGTAGTCAAAAGTCTCTAAATCATGCCAATATACATATACTGTTGATCTGCAAAGGACTTCTTGCTAGCTAATATGTATACCAAAACCCATGGAGTTTCAGATTCCTACCAGTGATGCTTTTGCTACAAGGTTGCTGATACACTTCTAAAACTATTTTAATTTGTACAATAGCAGTCAAGATCACAATGTGTGGGGGAAGGGCTTTTATTTTTTTAGTGGGGGGTTGGATTTTTTTATAATTGAAATTTCTCCTTTTATTCCCAGTTTGTCACCATTCTGGAAGGAGTCTTGGCTAAACTATCCAGATATGATGAAGGGACATTGTTTTCCTCTTTCCTGTCATTTACTGTAAGTTGACTACTCCCCTGTCCCCCCCCCCCCATGGTTTCCCTACTTTTTGGTATTGTGGTTTGGTGTAGTGGTTAAGAGCAGCAGACTCTAATCTGGAGAACAGGGTTTGATTCCCCACTCCTCCACATGTGGACTGACCTTGGGTCAGTTGCAGTTCTCGGGAGAGCTCTCTCAGCCCCACCTACCTCACAGGGTGTCTGTTGTGGGGAGAGGAAGGGAAGGTGATTGTAAGCCACTCTGAGAATCTGAGTGAAGGGTGAGGTATAAATACAACTCTTCTTCTTCCTATTTTTCCTCTTCCTCCTCCTGAGTATTTTTATATTCTGCTTGCAACGGAAAACCATTTCTAATGTATATTTACCTAAATGTTGATAGCTAAAGTGAAGGGATTTCATTGACCGAATGATGCTTATTCTTAACTGTAAAATAATAAGGGAGGCTCTATATATCTTCAGCAATCATGAGTTTCCAGAAAATCCTCAACTTTGATAGTTTCTGGCCCCGGTCACACGGGAGGTTTTCCCCGCAAGAGGGATGGATCGGGGGCGCATCAAACGGGTGCGATCACAACGCAACATCTGGGAAGCGGAGCGCACCCGTCCCCGATCCGTCCTTTCCGGGGGGAAACACGCAGCAAAAAAGAACCTAGCAAGGAGTACTACCTACCTGAAGCTCCGCAGCAAGGGCGGCCGTGGGATCGCCGGCACGCCTGTCTTCCGCAGCATTCAAGGCTCCTGGCCAAACTGCGCATGCGCGCACATGCGCAGCCGGCTGCCTTGCTCTCCGTCCCGTGGCTTCTCCCCCGGCATCTGATCGTGCCAGGGAGCAACTGCGCAGCGGCTCAGGGGATCTGTCTGATCCCGCCACCGCACATCTATTTTGCTGTGGCTCAGAAAATCCGCGCTTTGGCCGTGATTTTCTCCCTGTGTGACCGGGGGCTTTGTTTATCTTTTTAACCTACTTTTTGGCAATGAAGCTTTGAACATGATCTTCAAATATTCAGAACAATGTGGAAGGCTTTCCTGTTCATACCCAGCACATACAGTAAGTCCATGGCCCAGGAAGCTCAGGGAGGACTGCAGGGCTTTGCTGGTGGACAGGAAGGAAAGATTTGCAGTGCAAGTCCAAGGCCAGCACACCAAGGAATCCAGAATTGAGATTGGCAGCCTCATCCTAAAACGCCATCAGCAGCACATCACTGGCGCCACTTGTTAATCCTTTGTTCATCCTGCAGAGTGGAAATAAAACCATACCAGATCTCATGTCAAGGTGTGCAGAGCACAGCATTTGAGTCCCTAGCAACCCTGCCACATCTCATGAATCACTGTACGCCATGCCAACTTCTCCATGACAGCCACAGATGGAAGCAGCCGATCAGCACATGCTGATGTAGCCACACACCCGTGACATCAGCCCACCATCACTCACTTGTAGAACACAACAAGGGAAGAGCAGTGGGAACACAGTACCCTCTACTGTAAGAAGGACTGTGGCATGACCAGTAAGAGCCCCCAAATGAATATGCACCAGGGCGTTCCACAGATGGGGGGGGGGTGAGTCCCCTCTTGCAACTGCATGTCCCTTCACCAGGTGCACACAAACCACTTTACCAACAGGCCTCTAGCTCATTTGGAAGAGGCAATCGCCTCTTCCACACCAGGTTGTGGGGCAGGGGGGCTAAAGAGCATCTTTTACCAGGTAAGAGGGATGAGGGACACAAAGGCAGCAACAAATGAACACACAGTTAAATAGTCACAGAAAAGAAAGTAGTGCTATCAATAGCTCATTAGGCAAGAGTAGCCAGGTGTAGCACCAGAAGCAGCTGGTTCGAATTCTGACAGCAGGTATTATGACAGGAAGGCGAACCTCACCTTTTGGGCAGCAACAGGCTGAGCGAAAGCAAACTAAAAAAGGGAGAGGCCAAGCAGAAACTGTGTCACACAGACGCATGCTGCAGTAGTTCTTTAATCACTCATTCAGCTGGGCACAGGTGCAGCACAGGGCATTTGGATTTCAAACAAGAGTCCCCCAAATTGGATTCCATTTGGATTCCCCCATCAGGATGGGACCAGCAGAATTAACAGGGTGAGATTTGCCCTATGGGCCGCCACAGGTTATATTGTTTCATTTATACAGTTCAGCATTTATGAGGCTACTGAATGAGATTTTCCAGAGTTTGGGGGTTGAGTGTCGTCCATATAGATACACATCTTTACCTCTCATTATCAAAGCCACCTGATGTGTCTGTCCTGGCTCTTAACCAGTGCTTTGAGGCCATGGTCAGGTGGCTAAGGCAGATGAAGCTGAAGACAAAACAGAGGTGAAGCTGGTCACTAAGGCTGATGTTTCAGATGGATCAAGTCATAGCAGATGGAATAGAGTTGACATTTACAGAGCAAGATGAGAGCTTGGGTTTACTGATGGTCCAGCCTTGTCATTCAGAAAGGTTGGTGGAGTGGCCAAGAGTGCTTATTAGAAATTTTTAGGAGGCGCTGCGAGCCCATTTTATTTGCAAATATTTTATGGACTATAAGTACAGGTGTCTCTTGGGGGTGCAAGAGTTATTTAAAGGAGTTTTAGTCTGTTGTTTTAAAACTGCAGTATTTTTAATTAAAATGTGTAAGTCACCTTGAGCCACAGGGAAAGATAGGGTAGAAATATTTTAATAAATACATAAATGTACCACAGCAGGGAGGACTGCAAGAGAAGCCCCCTCTTCCCATTTCTGCACTGTGCATACTTTGAGGGGTGGGTTGTTGGGGGACTACACAGAGTAGGTTCAGAAGGAGGGGAAACAGTTACAGCCTTCACAGTTCAGATTCCCTTCCCTTGCTTACCTGTATGAGCTGCCTTGTTCTTGCATCCTCAGTTGAAGGGCTGCCAGCTCTAGGTTGCCAGACTAGGATAGGGTTGCCGGCTCTAAGTGGGGAAATTCCTGGAAATTTTGGGAATGAAACCTGGGAAGGGTTGGGATTTGGGGATGGGAGAGCCCTCAGCAAGTGTAATGCCATAGAGTACTCCTTCCAAAGCCACCATTTTCTCCAGGGGAACTGGTCTCTGTAGCCTGGAGATCAGATGTAATTCTGGGAAATCTCCAGCCACCACCTGTGGGTTGGCAACCCTAGCTCAGATGTAGCCCTATGCCCACAACACCATATCATCGGAGCTATGGGCATCCTGGCTGTTGTTTATACAGTGTTTAGGAGGAGTGTTTAAGATTGCGGCGACTGGCTGCTATCTTAGCATACAAAGCTGTTCAACTGCTTCAGCGTGTGGCAGGAGGCAGAGGGGGGCAGTTTCTCTTTCACTCTCTATCTGTGAGACTTTAAAAAGATATACCATGGTTGTTGCTGGCATAATATTGCCCAGGCGGCTTGACATGGGCCATCATGATCCTGGTACTGTCCATTTGTATGTCACCCCCAGAGTTACACCAGCCTGACTGTTGTGAGGGTGAAGGTAGGATCCTCAGAGTTGGATGAGTTCATCGATCAGAGTTCTTTCTTCTGTGTAGATCTTTGAAGAGCAATTCTAGGTTTGCCAGCTCCAGGTTGGGAAATACCTGGAGGTTTGGGGACTGGAGCCTGAGGAGGGTGGATTTTGGGGAGGGGCTTCAATGGGGGATAATGCCATTGAGTCCACCTTCCAAAGTGACCATTTTCTCTTCTTCTTTTTTTCCATCCCCCTGGGGGGAAGTTTTTATTGGGGAGTTTTCAGACTACAGAACTACAACAGAAAATATAGGAAAGGGAACTACATCTAGGGAATAAAGAAAAAAGACCCACAAGTAACTAAAAACCCAAGAGTAGGAGATCATACATCAGCTTAACACCATGCTATTTTCAAAAAGCTACTAATAATACAATGAATTTAGTCAGTTATGCTAGATTAATTATCGTTTAACCATCCCTTTAACTGTTTAAAGAAATTCCCAGAGCATCCCCAAGTTTCTGGGGTTAACCACCTGTAACTGATGCCATTTGTTTGTAAGAAAATGATTAATTCTGTATAGTTCTTTCTTTTCTGTCTTATATCAAATGGAATATCTTTTAAAATCCTGATATTATTGCCCCCAATTTTCAAGAGTGTTCCCGAATTTGCTTTCAAAATAGCATCTCTCACGTGTCTCTTCAAGAATCTGACCACTATTTCCCCAGGCAGATTATTTTTCTTGATGTACGATGAATAGGACCTATAGACCACATCCATCTCGCTGCAAAGGTATTCCGCTGTTAAATCTGTCATTGGGGCTATTGCTTCACTCATCCGTTACTTCAGATTCTCTCCTTCAATTTCCGGGACCCCTTGAAACCATAGGACCAAATTTGCTTTATCCATTTGTAGCTGTAAAAGCTTTGACTCTTCTGTAGCTTGCTTCATTTCCAGCTTTTGCACCTTTTTCTTAACTTTTTTAGTAGTGACGTCCATTTCCTTCACCTTCTCTCCCATTTACTCTGTTGCTTTTAAGGAGTGCGTCAGTTGCATCTGCTGCGCTGCCACACTCTGCCCAATTAATGACAGTTGTTTAATGCCAGTGATCTCGTCCAGCAGGGGGCACAGGGAGTCAACCAAGAGTTTTGAGAGCTCAGTGAACTTATCCGGTCGAGGACTGGCCCCTAGGTTCGAGTTCAACAGCTTGTCTTTCTCCAGTTTCTTCCCCACCATCTTTTTGGATTTGTTTACTTTTCAAAAAAGTTGCTAAAGTCTCTGATATTCGCCCAAACACTTTTCTACGCTCTGGTAAGTCTCTTAAAACAGTTTTAGTCGCTTATTTTTTCACTCCCCCCTCTTTCCTTTCGTGTTTCGTCTATGCGTTTGGGAGAGATCCTTCCCCCACTTACTTTCCCATCGCTCTTTAGGGGGGGGCAGCTTCTTTTTATATCTTCATGCTTGCTTCAACCCGACTCACAGTTCGTTGTTGGCCATTCGGCCTCACTCGTCATCATTTATTTCACCCGATCTCCAATGCTTGTCCCGGTCAGCAGCACTTGTACCAT